TTCGCTTTTCATTTTTCTCTGCTCATTTGTGTTAAAAGTTGAATAGATTGGACTCGAAATACAAAAATTCAGATCCGAGTCCAATTCCTTCAAAAAAATCTCCAGTCCGAATCCGCCAAAAAATCTTCCAGTCCGGACTCGGACTCGTCCATGTCTGACTGATGCATATCATCATCATATCATTGATAAAAGCGATGTGAAGTTTTAAACGAAAAGTGACTGGCGAAAGACGTGAATCTCTGTATAAAACAGTAACGTATTAATATTGTGGTACCTAAATAGTTATTAATTTTAACGTATTTCTGTTTTAGATGAATTAAAAATATTGATTGTTTTTTGTACATTATGTCAGATTCTAGGAGGGCCGACAACAACTCCGCTGAGAAGACGAAACTATCGTCGGCTTTAGACGATGAACAACGGAAACAAATTCCGTCTCCACTTGGAATTAACTAAGCAGATAAGATAGTTTTTCCGATAGCTAAGAGCAGCAATCGCAAATAAATAGCAATCACGCTAAAATCGCGTCTTATGTCACAAGGCTTACAGCGAACGCATTACTCGATCCCGGTGCGAAGTTTTTTTAGCAACTTGCATCGCTTCGATTATAAGAATGCTGACTTACATTTTTTTCATGCCTTTTATATAAAAAATAATTTATAAGTTGGAACCAATTCCTCATAAGATGTACAGATTGTACAGTAAAAAACAACCGTGTCTATAGCCTTAAAAGTCCGATACAAATTTAGATTTTGAAAGACACGAAAAATACTAACAACAATTTGAATCTTTATTTCAGTTTAAAAACACTGTCTAATGATTCAAGTGAAAAAAAAGAAGGGCGTCGTAATCCTGGTACGTTCTGTGTCCAACTTTTATCCTTTCTTAAGGATCTAACATATGAATAGGTTAAGTAGGAATGGGATTTTATTCCCATTTTTCGCTGCTGATGATCAGTTTGAGCGACCGTCAAACACGTAGAGCTTCGGTCAGTGTTCTTTCGTCTTGTTTTCTACATTCGACAAACCTGCTTGATTAGTTGTATAAATGCTCACAGCTAACTTCTTTGCCCCCCTCTGCTCACAATTCAAAAAATTGAGTTGTTTTATTAAAAATAAAAAAATTGTTGATGAACACTAGTTAAAACATGGAAATTGGGGAAAAAAATCGAACTTTTTCCTTTTCAGCACTTTCCGTGTTTTAGCCACTATCCACCAATATACGGATTTCAGAATTGTATGTGGGTGACATCTTTGAACAAAGGAAAATCTACTAGACCAGTGTCATTGCCTTTGTAAAAATTTTATGTTTAATTTGATATAAATCGCAGTTTGCTGAAAAAGTCAGCATAATAGCGATCTAAGCACCATGAGACCATATTCAACTTATTTCATCTCCTGGGATGACTTTATATGTGTAATGTACTTAACCTACTCAGCCTACGTTGCATATTGTCTTCATTACATACATATCTGTAACCAACCTTCTCATGTATTTGGATGGTCTTGGCGTTTCATACGATACTAGTATTTTGACTGTTGCTTCGTGATGACAGGATTGTATAGCAGGATTGTGTGACAGCTTGAGAAAAAAATTAAGTTCATGCAGAGTCGTGGAAAATTGGTTTGTGGTTTTGAGTTCACGCAATAACCCAGAAAATTGTCTATTTTTGGCGGGACCTATTGGCCC